TAGGCCAAGTGTTATGTAAATTAAGTTACTAGTGACAATGTTGAAAGCTATTTATGATCGTCCAATTATTTGCAGCCAGCCAATTATAGTGCCCTGGCAATAACATTCTAGGAGGCGTAAACAATATTGGAAGCCTTGAAGGAAATCTATTTTTTAAGAAGATTATTATTTTAAGAAATTGTGGGACGAAGTTGTATAATCATTGAAATGAATAATTATTAAGAAATAACCATTTCGCCTTGAACATCGCTCCGGGCAACTCATTCCTCAAATCTCGAGGACTCATAAAAAGCTTAACACGGCGAATAATATAGTCTCCCATCGCGAGAATATCAGCCTATACGACGAGTAAAATTTCATCTCTTCACTATCAAACTCCTTGAAAAAATTTCGCTTAATTTTCTGCGATGAAACTTTGATGCTACTAATTGAATCTGGTATCGATTTTGAAAACATACTGCGCAGTCAAAGAAAAATGTTGTCTAAGTTTAGAAATCAAACTTTATTGCACTCGAACTTTGGATGTAAGCTCTACAGCGTTCAAGAAGTCTTCAAGGCTCTCGACTTTATTTTACTGCTAGCAATTAACTGCGGTTGGGGCCCTCTACACTTTTGAACCGTCTAAGCGCACCGGCTTACATCCTGCTATTTTTTCCACACCCGCGGTGAAGTCATCACCCAAGAATATTTTCCGTCCAATATTTCATCTCTTAAATATCCAGACGTGAGTTCATTCCTAATTTATATGAGCACTGTAATGGATTATCAGCGTCGATGGCATTGAAGATTTTTTTCTGAAGCATGGCGTTGTCCGACCATCACATCTCGCCGTCTGACACGATTTCATTGTTAAGCGTTCCCTGTTCAGTCAGGGACCAAAATCTTTGCTTTATTTTAATCATTCATGAACCTCCGACCTCTGTTTGCGGTCCAGCCAACATCAATTCACGCATTATCGTTAGTTTATCATTGCACACATAGGTTAGCCGTCGATTATTTGGTCAAATATAAAAACTCGGAACAAATGATGGGCTCAATGTTGAGCAGCGTATTTCGTTCTCAGTTTTATTTTACGTTTATTTCAAGTACCTAGCATTGTTTAAGATTTCATTTGAACGTTTGCAGATTTTTTATCGGTTGAACCCTGAAGCATTTGACCTTTGCCGAATTTTTCTCAACACTAATTTCTATTTATTTCAATGAACTCCATATTTTTAACGAGAATAAGGCATCGTCCAATCGTTTTATGCTGCAATTTATGCAAATCGCGAGGTCTCAGGAGTTCTTAGGTGCCTGCTCAAGGATTAAGTTAAGCTAAGCTCTGAATCTAGGTACGTTAGGAATCAGTCTGCTTCAATTTTTTATTCGTTCACAATCATTGACGAACTTGCATTTCGTTTGCATTCATCCGTATGCATTCATTTAAAAATTTAATCTTAACATTCGCTACCTACTGCAACGTTTGAACTGAAAAACGAGGTACGGCTGCAAAAACGAAACCATCCAAAGCAACAAAATCCTTTGTTCGAGAAAAAGGCACGAAAATGAAGGAAGTAACACGTCTTCGCCCGAGAACTGCTCCCACTAAATCCACTTTTCTCATCAAAATCAATGCAATTTTGAACAAAAAAAGCTTATGTTCCCTCGAATTATTTAAGCAAAAATCGATGCAACTTTGAAAAAAAGGAATTTCCCCTCACACTGAAGCAAATTAACCAAAATGACCGAAATCCAAAACGATAGTGCGTGTAAATCTCTGCTTTCACAGCCAGCACCAGCGCGGAAACCTTTTTCTTTGACAGACGGAACCTGGAGAGACGCCGGTCCATTGCTAGGCTGGCCTTGCCTACCCGGCGGGAACCGCGCGATCTGCGTCCCCTGCATGTGGCAAGGCCTTGAGATGAGCTCTCCGGTGCACCGCTTTTCTTTTTGGTCGCGATTTTCTTGTCAAAAATTGGCACCTGTTATTTTCGAGGAATTCGCACCTGTTGTTCTAGCCAGTTTGACTGCTACCATGTCAGAAAGTATGCCTGGAGTAATTTTGCATCATCTGCAATTGTGTTGTGCGTTAAATACTGTTTTAACAAATTCCCGGACTTTAAACCATTTGTTTTGTGTAATGTAGACGTGACTTCAGAAGATTTTTTCATTCTTAACACGTTGACTCCGAGGTGGTACAAATGCGTACCATGAAGTGTATTTCTCCAGGACGTATTGGTACATAATTCAGTGTTGCCAGATGGCCTAAAAAATCGGCAAAGTCCAAGAACTAAAAAGGCCAAAAGGCCTATAACAATATATACTGGTATATTTATAGGTTCCGGTGTAAAAATTCAATTTATTTTTATTTAATAAGGTAGTACCCCTATCATAAATTTTATGCGAGCAATGCAATTGAAAAAACTAAATCACGGAATTTGTCCGGAGAGAAAAGACCGTCTGACAACCCTTTTCCATAATAGAACTAGAAATTAAATAATAGTACAAGATGAAGCAATCGAAGTCCGCGTAGGTATGGCTCGTGAATACAATTTTTTGCAATAATCCGTCACGGCATTGCGCAATTCTCATGGTAGTGAGAAAATTCCATGTATAAATTCATGTTTTTCCAGGAAAATTTTGAGAGTTCCATGCATGCTCATTTACACTCGTGCTTGGTCTTCTGATCTTTGAAGCGAATATTTCTAAAGTATTTGAATTAAGGCTCCTTAAAGTTACAAGGTGCCTCGGTAATTGGCCTCCTTATAAAAGGTTTACGTTGTCTGCAGTTAATTACCGCTAAATTCTCGCAGCAGGTCCGAATAATTATCATGCTTTCATTTAGCAATTAATGTTGAAATTAACATTTTCAGCGAGCGACCCCCAATATCTATCTCGATATCTAGGTTTATCTGATCATATTAACTCTGTTTCTGGTTTCTGCTCATGGTTTCCTAGGTTGTAGGTACTTCACGGCGACTCGTTCTCCCTAATATTGTTGATAACATGTGTAAAGCCTTGTTTACATGAAGCTCGCTAGAATTTCTTCGTTTCAAACATGGCTAATTAATCAGTACACAATACTGCTGCGTTGTTCTCCCCCTCGACATTAAGGAAGATCTCAAGTCGATCCTCCTTGGCGCACATCTCTGCCGGCGTGAAACCCTATAGGTTGAAATTTTCCTTGCCGCTCCTTTAATTGTTGTTGCTGTGGACTTCGGTCCCTGGCTATTGATTCTGCTCTGACAGACTGGCGCGAATTTTAATCGTATTAGTTTTTTACTAGCTGATTATGCTTAGTTCTTTTCAAATTTTGACCTTGAGGTGCTACGTATTTAACTGTAAATGGTAAGGGTAGTGACATTTTCTTGACAGTTTGAGCATGAACATGGCGCGTTGTCCGATTACATTGATTAACTTATATCTTGTATCTCGATCAGGAAGTATATATTATGTGTATTTATTTATTTTAAGTAGTTATTTAATTGTTATTTAAGGAGTTATTTAAGTAAGTTATTTATTATATAAGAAGTATTGAAGTATGTGTTGTTATAATGCAACAAAAAATTTTAAATTTGATTACAAGTAATAATTTGCAGAAGCAAATCTACAATTTGCTACTGAAAATTGGGTATTTTAATGCATGGTCCCATCAAAGAAAATTTAAAGTGATGATCTTACACCGTTTATCGTCTTCTAGAAAATAAGGATGATTCTCCAGCAAGGAATGTTGACTATGAAAGCATTTTCCGTCCTTAACTCTAGTGTAAAGTCGTTAACTTCTAGAATCATTGTTTGATAATTATAAATAAAAGAGGTACCGGTATAGATGAGAATTAAGTTTCAAGAGCAACGTAACGAAGTAAACGAAAATAAACAACCCAAATAGCTGACGTACGGAAATAAAAAATGTATGGCAGCCCTATTTATGGACTATTCTATGTGAGTGAAATAGTTAGGCAAGCGTTGAGATCTCGTGGTGATCACAGGTAAACAAGCCCTCGCACGAAACTGGAAGCATTAGAAGGTAAAGCAAACGATTGGTCAGTAATTTCTTAGCATTGAAGTATCAACGACTTCACGTTCATCGATACTTCGGTCGACTTATTACATGGCTTTCTGAAAAATTTTATACCTCGCGCGCCAACCAGGAATTAAATGCTTTGAAAATTATATGAATTTTGTCAATATCTTAAAATGCGAAGCAAATTATTGTCAGATGAAATAAATTCCAATAAATACGCTGAAACGAGCTTTATTCGAAGGTAGCTGGAACTGTTCTTTTACTCCAATTTTTATAGGTACATGATGAGTTTTTACAGCAAAAAAATGAGATTTTCACTGTATTAAGGGAGCAAGTTTTACACATGTAGTTCGGATAGCGGTTACGTATGTCGTTGTACAATTTCGTTGTCCCATAAGGAGTCATTGCATGTCCATGTAAAAACATGAATAAACCTAAATTCTGGAAATAAACTAAAATATCCTTTGAAATTCTGTAAACCTAAATATAATGAATGCTCTTGTAATGCAGTGTTAACAACAAGTCAAATGCAATCTGTTCTTCAGCTTAATTAAGCACATCTCATAAACACCTGAAGTAAGAGTTAATAGAGGCAAGGTTTGCTCATCGTATTATATGACCCTAAACAACTAAAATAATTGAACGCTGGAACTCATGCGTTGTAACTACGCCTTTTAACTGTTATTCCTGTTAATACATGAACAAGCGTTAACTTAATGCATCACGTTATCCATGCACTTGTCAATTAATAAATAGGCTTCATTAATTGCGTGGAAATTTGCCGGAATTAGCTTCGTGTTATCAGAGATGGTATGAGATTTACAATTTTTACCTTTTTTAATCTATATATTTTAATTAAATTTCAGTTAAACTAACTCATCCGCTTGGAGTAACGAGTTTTAGTGTCGTGTCAAACATTTGACGCACATATTTGACTAATGTTGTGTCAAACATTTGACGCACATTTTTGACTAAGATGTTATTTTCTTTTTCCCAGCACGGATGATGGTGCTTGTGGTGCGCTGGTGCGGCGGTGCAGGTGGTGATGGTGCTTGTGGTGCGGGCAGGCCGTGTGGTGGTGAGAAGCTGGCAGCGTTTGGCGATTGTGGTGATAATCACCACAGCAGCCTGCTCTCTCATCTTCATCAACCGGTGTAAACTGGCGACAAACTCCTACGCTGGTGAGTGGTGACTAATATGTGGTGCAAACTGGCGACAAACTCCTACGCTGGTGAGTGGTGACTAATATGTGGTGTAAACTGGCCACATACTCCTACGCTGGTGAGTGGTGACTAAAATGCATGTGTGCAAACTGGCCCTAAACTCGTATAACTGCAGAATTTTGTTATAAATAAAAGTTAAATTAGGCACAACTGCCACGTGAGTATGATGCCACTACTTCACAACGGAAGAAATTTTATTGTACACTGCTGTAAGTGATGACAATTTTCAGTTGTGATTATATAACATTTTGAATTAAAGTGAATTGGTCGAAAGCTTATTGCTCGGAAATGCTCTGTTAACCGACAGGCAGCTTGACACAGCTAAAATATGCTGCCACCCATAATGTGCCAAATATTTTTACAGAAGAGAGCCTATATGACAAATTAAATCCAGGTACATAAAATTCACACAACGAATGTGATAGACAGCGAAATTTTCTGGAGGGCACCAAAAATGGGGTATCACTAGGACTCATTGGGTGACATATACAGTCTCGAGTACTAAAAAAATTGTAAGCAGTGGCCAGTTACCTCCCAAAGTCCGTGAGAAGCCAGCAAAAAAACATTCGTGAGACCCGTCAGTTATTTTGAGGATGTAGCTCCTCGAATCAATTCAATCATTAATATTTCTATTCATATTTCCGCTAAAGTCGAACCTGATCTTTGTTTATCGTTTTGGTATTGAAATCGGCGAAATATTCTGGTAAGTCTCGAATCCAGTGATAGAGAACATTTTTATGTCGCGCTATGTGTCTCTCAAGGTAAATTTTACACTTCAATGTTTCGCAATTAAATCACGGTTGTAGAAACGCCCAGTTAATTGTCTTTATGCGGAAACACGACCTTTTTTACCCTAAATTGCAGTATGTACATTGCTAACGAAGGGCTATGTATCATGATAAGTCAAGAAAACGGTTTGCAAGTGAAGATTCTAGGGAAATAGGATTAATATTTTTTAATTTCGTATTTTTAGTATTTAGTTTAAAAATACGGAAGTTAGATTTGTAGATCCCATCCGTTCTTGTTAGTCCCGCATTTGAACCCACAGGGTCCGGGTGCGTTTTAACTTGGTTATTTGTTTGTTCCTGTGTTTTACATTTTGTGATTTTGTTATATTCTCTATGGCTAAATTAGTTTATTAGTGAGAAGTGTTAATTCATACTTTGTCTCCTGTTTATTCCTTTGTTATTTTAGGTTATTTATTCTTTGTTATTTTTCTTCAAGTAGAGTTCGGAATTCGGATTCTGTATCATTTATTTATGAGTTTGGATAGTGGATTTGTCTTTTATTACACGCCTTTGTTGAGGTCCACGTAAAAATACTTTATGTACAGCTGGACGAACCTGAGTGTCCCCAGCAAAGGAAATACATTCTCACATCATCAAGTGTCTCGTTATTACTTGCATTCCAGCAGCGTATCCTGACAGGAAGTCGTTCACTGATAAGTGCAAATCCTGGCTGTGAGCTTCTCGTGCATTTGCGCCATAGAGTGATGTTGAAGAACAAGTTTGTTAACCCTCATTGCATCAAAGACGATCATACGTGGATATAACTCTGATTTTCATAAGAATTTATATGTCTTAATCACCGGTGCCAGCATCTATTATGTTTATTAGATTCCGACTTCGTCTTAGCTTAGGGGAATTGAGGCGTAAAATCTCTGGATAATTTAGAAATGCTTATTCAATATCGTCACTTCATTCTTCCAATTCTCAATGTGAAAAACTTACTGGGGAAATTTCCAATTGATTCATTTTTATTATACTTAGGAATCAGTCTACTGTAATGATGCTGAAAAGATAAGTTGCATCTGATGGTCTATTCAATATTGCACTCAAGCTATTGAAATCTCTACCTGATCTTAGAACTAAGAGACAGTAACAGAACCTAGAGACCTATTTTCGCGCTTTATGGCTTCAATATACTTCGTTATGAAAGATAACAGTGGGTAATGTGGCCTGATGACGTCATTGCAGTTGTAGGAGTATTGCCATTGCAGTTGTAGGAGTATTGCCATTGCATGTATTGCCATTGCAGTTGTAGGAGTATTGCCATTGCATGTATTGCCATTGCAGTTGTAGGAGTATTGCCATTGCAGTTGTAGGAGTATTGCCATTGTCGTCTCGGCTGCCTGATGTTCCTAAGTTGTCACGATTTGCTGACATTTTTTTCCTTTCATGTGGAGTGCAAGTAATATGATGATTTTCTTTAATTCTCATTTGCATTGGAAGATCCATTGTCAGCAGCAAGTTTGCATGATTATAAACAAGTTCTTTGAACACAATTTATTTGACTTTTAATTCTGTTTTAGGAAGTGGCAGAGTTCAGAATTGATTAAGTTGTTAATAAGTAGTTAACACGATAATAACTATCGTACATAAAAAGCGACACCTGTCGTACTCTAACGTAAAATTCAGGAAAATTTTTATTAGAAATTTAATGTGAAGCGGAAAAACATTCATTGTAGACTCTTAGACTACTCACTACAGCAACCTAGAAACGGAAAAAAATTGATAGCTAATTGTTTGCGAAGAATATGATTTTAAGAAAGAACGAATGAATAAAGTGAATTTTAAAGCTTTGAATGGGCGAATTTTAAAGCTTCGTCACTACATATAGTGGAAACCCATTATGTGACTATAAAGCTTAGATGATGATGTACTTAACTATCGGTTAGATGTTGAACAAGAGCGGTTCCTAGATTGGAATTAATGAAAGATACAGTATTTAAAAGTGCGAATCAAGTTCATGGGTCAAATGTTGGAACGAATTCCTCTTAAATTTTCTCATGCGATACCGGATTCGATATCAGGATTATGTTCGATATAATCCTGTACAGCGACTGTACAGGAGTATTCTAATTGATTGACCTAATTTAATAAACGCGTATTTATTTAAGCATAAATTCAAAATGGATAATTTATACACCACTGGAAGAAGAAAGATTCTAATTTATTTTTCTACATATTTATAAATGTTCAATATACACTTGTGCTGCATGGCAAACATCTACACGGTAACTAAACTCTCCTGTCAGTTCCTGAGCGTTGTGTAGGACGCATAGGAAATGAAGATCTGGCTCCACACTTCTGGCCACCGAGATCACCTGATCTCACGTGACTATTTCTTATGGGGTTACGTCAAGGAAGCTGTTTACGTCTCGCCTCTACCAGGAACTCTGTTTACGTCCCGCCTCTACCAGCAACTCTGTTTACGTCTCGCCTCTACCAGCAACTCTGTTTACGTCCCGCCTCTACCAGCAACTCTGTTTACGTCCCGCCTCTACCAGCAACTCTGTTTACGTCCCGCCTCTACCAGCAACTCTGGTTAATCTGGAGAACCGTATCACTGTTACGGTGCACGGTGTTTGGCTACCGTTTAGAATTTAGGTTTTTGCCGTGCAGCGCTAGGGAGGCATATTGAACATTTATAAATGTGTCAGAAAACTTTGAATCTTATATCAACGCACTGCCACCACGTGGCCCACATCGTCGTCGCACGGTGTGGGTTCACACGTGGTCATCTTAGTGACGATACTATCGCATCTCTGTGTCTTGGTACGATACAAAGCCTTTTTGACGGAGTGCAGTTTACCTCAATCGATCTCTGCAGTTTTTTGACGAAGTGATGTGGACGGTTGATTCTAGCCTTGAGGATGGCTAGAAGACATCTTATCTTTGCGTGTCATTCATTATGCGTCGAAAGATCAACACTCGTATATTAAAGTTTAAGTCGTCCAGAAGGCATTTCAAGAAGAATTTGGTCTTAAGTTCTGACAAAAAATTATGCTTTTAACTGGCGTGATTAGAAAGACATGCATGACCTCGAATTTTTGGCGATATTAACATATTAACGTTGAAAATGCTGACAGAAATTTCATAGATTTCGATCAACACCTTCAAGCAGAAGAGTGAACGAGCATATATGCATTTGTTTTTTGAAACATTTATCATTGTCAGCATAAAATAAAGTGGTTCAGATTATAATAGAAGTATTTATGATTCTGTCGATGGAATCATGGAAGCTTCATTACTCTTCAAGCCCTAAAATGGTAAACAAATATTGGGAACTGCAACTCGCTAACCAAACTATTGACACTCGGCTATATTCCACCGGTGTATACGCACTTGGTACATTTTATCAATTCACCAGCCTTAACCAACAGACAAACAACGTATTAAGGTGCAGTGACTCCGATTTGTTTTTTGTTGTTTTACAACGATCGATTTCTACTATCTACCCAACAGTTACCCTTATTTCTCGTGTTTGAAGCGAAATTAATCCTCTACGGGAGTCACAGTACAACCCACCCTCCATATGACTATGGATGTTCCGTCAAATCGTCATTTATTTGCGGACTCAATTTGGCGATAAGCCCGCCTCCCAACAGCAGGAAGCGTCGTCCCGCTAATAAAGGCTGCTGGATTTGCATCTTTTTGTCACCGATGTGTGTATTGCCGGGCGTCTGATCGTAACCCTTTTATTTTTGCAGATTTTGCCCTTCAAGTTTTTTGCCACTTTAGGCTTCCGTGTTATTTGAAGGTAATTCGTCGCATTGATCGGAAGAGACTTCCTATCGTTGATTTTTGCTTCGGTGACGTAAGTGTAACGCGCGGAATTGGAATGTTATTGAATTAAATGTTTTTTTTTGTGGCTACTTGCGTATGAAATTAGTATTAGACGGCAGAATTTTGTTGTTGAAACACGTACGATTAATGACCAGCGAATGCATTCATTATATTCCAATTTTCAGGGAGTTGAAAAATTCTTCAGATGACGTTACTAGATCAAAAAGCAGGTCTTAGCAAGTACTTATAAAAGATTTAAAGACGTTTCGATTGTAACAACATTCATTTTCAAGTTACAAGAAACATTGAACAATGAAATTTTAGTGGACATAAGTACAAAATACATGTAAAAAAGGATACCACACGGAAATTTTCGAACGGGAAAATTAC